CGCCACACCCAGTACGGCGCTTCGCGGCCCCATAGGGAGTTCCACCTAAGGCCCCAGGGGAGGGGGTACCACATGCGTCCGCCACATCCAGTGCGGCGCTTCGTGGCCCCATACGGAACTCGACCCCGGAGGGGGGGGTACCACATGCGTCCGCCACACCCAGTACGGTGTTCGTGGCCCCGAGGGAAACTCCACCTAAGGCCCCACATGGAGGGGGTACAACATGCGTCCGCCACATCCAGTATGGCGTTTCGTGGCCTCATAGGGAGCTCAACCTAAGGCACCAGGGGGGAAGGGGGTTACCACATGCGTCCGCCACACCCAGTACGGTGTTCGTGGCCCCATAGGGAGCTCCACCTAAGGCCCCACAGGGGGGAGGTACAACATGCGTCCGCCACACCCAGTACGGCGTTTCGTGGCCCCATAGGGAGCTCCACCTAAGGCTTCAGAGATGGGGGGGGGGGTACCACATGCGTCCGCCACATCCAGTAGGCGCTTCGTGGCCCCATACGGAACTCCACCTGAGGCCCCGGGGGGGGGGTGACCACACTGGCCCCATAGGGAGTTTCACCGAAGACGATATTCACAATTGCGGTACCCACAATTGCATATGGTTGGGTCGTTCGCCAGGATAATTTTTGACGAGACTGCGCGGCGCTAAGGCGAAAGCCACATTCTGAAATCGACCCGCCCTTATCCCGTCAAACTTTTGCAAATGTGTAAGAACGAGTGTGCGCGGCGCTAAGACGAAAATCGCATTTTGAAAACCACCCGCCCTCAACCAGCGAACTTCCTTGCGAGTTTTTGCAGCGAGTGCGCGAGGCGCTGAGGCGAGAGTCACATTTTGGAAGCAACCTTCCCTCCATCGGTGAAAATGTTGTCAACTCCTCAGCTTCGGGATCAGCAATCGTGAGGAAGTCTCAGGCGACACGCCTTGCCCGCCTTGTCGACCGGCCTCGGGGAACGACCGGGACCCCAGTTGGAGGTCATCTATAACGAGGAGGAAAGGAGGAGGAGGAAGAGGAAGAGGAGGAGCAGGATATGAGGAGGAAATCAGGAGGAGGACGAGGAGGAGGAAGAGGAGGAGCAGGAGGAAGAGGAGGAGGACGAGGAGGAGGATCATGAGGAGGATAATGAGGAGGAGAAGGTGGGGGGGAAGAGTAGGAGGAGGAGGAGGAGGAGGAGGAGGAAGAGGAGGACCAGTGACCATAACCATGTTGGTTCAAGTCCGTAACAGTGTGGCTTCGATGTTTTTGTTTAATTCTTTGTTTGTTCCGTGACGTGGGGGATCCAACGGCCCCCGGCTGCTTCGTACACGTACACCCACTGCACACGGAAGTGTTTTTTGTTATGCCGCTTCATTATCTTGCTGATTTGGGGCGCTTTGAGATGGCGCTTTGGCAAAATACTTGGTGCTGCCCGAGTGAGAAGTGTGGTTTCAAGGTCAACACTGAGTCAAGGAACTTTTGTCTCCGCTGCAACACGGCTCGAGGCAGGCCCACAGTCAAGGACGAGTCTGCGCCGAAGGGAGCCTGGACCACTGGAGTTTCGGCGCCAGTGCGCAAGCCCAAGCACCCGCCCAGCGTGCCTCAGCTGTCCAGGGAGCAAGTCTAATACCTACGTGGCGCTGTGCGCCAGGAGCTACGACGCGTTGCTGGCCACCCTGGGGCCAAATACAGGGCCAATGTCGTTTGGATGCGCAGCCTGCGTTCGGGTGATCCCAAGCTGGTTTCGAAAGCTTCGCAGCGGGAGCACGACCGGCTCACAGACCAGGTGGGCTGGGCCCAACAAAAACAAGACAAATCCATTGAGGTTTTGGAGAAGACCGCGCTCTCTCTATGCGGCCACCTGTGGTACGGAGTTGGAGACCTTGCAGACCTTGCAGGCGGAACGGAGGCATGCTAATGACGTGCCGGGCAGGCGTTCGCCCAGCTCGGCTCGCCGTCGACAGCCCCTGGTGCTGCGCTCCGGGAGCACCGAGTTGCCCTGGCTTCCAAAGCGCAATACGTTGGCGACGCCTCACTCTTGGCTGACATGCAGGCTCTGTTCGATAACATGCAGGCCACATTATAAGTCGGGCGTGTCCCTCTACAGGATGAAAAGTGAGAAATTGTTGAGACATCGTATTGTGGCGAGTTTCGTGGTATGGCCAACATATTTCAAACATATTATGGCAATAACTCTCTGGGTGCTGGCCATATCGAAGGTACGATGCACGCGGTTGGAAAACGTCTGTTGACATCTATTCATGTGCGCAGACCAGTGGTCCCAGTGCGTGCGTAGTAAAGCTGGACCGGGAGCCTGCGGCGTGCCCCACTCGTCGCGGGCGCCGTCGGGGCATCCAGAGTGCAGACAGGCGTCGTCGCCGGCGCAGCAGTAGTGCTTCGGATGCCCGGAGCGAGTGTTCGACATGCCACGTGAGTTAACAAAATACCCCAGGGCAGAATGTCGCGCGCTCGCCGACCACGCGAAACGCTCCACTGGAGGATTTCAAGCACAACGCGCGAGCAACGTGCAACATACTCCGACCATGCATCCCGCAGTTTTCCAAATACTCACACAA